AAGAGAATCATTGATTGGCTGCCTCCTGCACGCCTTCTACTGGGAATGGAGCCCGCAACTGGGGCATGTGCCCTTGACTGGAATCGAACCCGGGACCCTTCAGTCTGCAGGCAGCTCCATCCCCACTGATTTTTAGAGAGAGGGAAAGACAGAGAGAAATATCGATGTAAGAGAAACACATGGATTGGTTGCCTCCTGCAAGCGCCTGACCAGGGCCCAGGCCAAGGAGGAGTTTGCAACCAAGGTACGAACCCTTGACCAGAATCGAACTCGGGACCCTTGGGTCCACAGGCCAACACTCTATCCACTGAGCCAAACCAACTAGGGCAGTACTGGCCTTCTTAAATACCAGTTAAGCTTTCACACTTTTCAGAAGGCAGAACTGGAGACAAAAAAGCAATTATCGGAAATTATGTTGGAAAATTAGTCTTGGTAAAATTTGAAGACAGATGCTTCATAAGAAAGAATCATTTGGCAGATGGTTTTTTTTGAAATGTAAGGATGTGATATGGGTTAGGTGGAAGAGAATTAATGAAGATGGACAGATGGGTGGAGAACCAATAAATAAAGCAACTCTGTTCAAAAACGTTACACATAAGACTGGATTTTGAGTTACACTGAGATTCAGTGATTACCAGAAAATTGAAAAAATTAGGAGCCTGGAAATCTGCTAGATAAATCTATATAAAGCATCAAGAAAAATGATACAACCTGAAAGATAATATGGTACAAGTAAAACTTTGAAAAGCTAGAGGTTGAAATTCATGAAATCTTAAAATAATGAAGTCCCAATCTAATTATTTTGTTGGTATATAAAGTGTACTGAAAAGGAGAGCCCAAAGCCAGAGTATACACTGAATGGTTCTTCCAAAGGGGAAAAAAAATCACACAAAGCAAACTGAGTTGTCTTTGTACATCTGAGAGAATGTTGAGTGAGGTTATGGAGTTGGGAGTTCAGACTGTGACCATGGAACAGTGTAGAAAGTCCTAAAATCATCTTCACAGACTTCACTGACTTAAAATTTTCTGATGAGACTAGTGAGATGCAAAGAAGTTATATGATTGGCCCAATATCATAAAACCACCCAGCAGAAGACTTATAATTAGATCAAAATGTTTCTGACTTAGACCAATATACTTTGTACCACTTTACCAATCATGATGACTTTGGCCATATTAGCACATGGTTATTAAATTAAACAACCAACCCCCAGCCGGCATGGCTCAGTGGTTGAGTGTCAAGTCATGATTTGATTCCTGGTCAGGGCACATGCCCGGGTTGCGGGCTTGATCCCCAGTGTGGAGTGTGCAAGAGGCAGCCAATGATTCTCTCTCATCATTCATGTTTCGCTCTCTTCCTCTCTGAAGTCAATAAAAATATTTCTTAAATTAAAAAACCAAGCAGAGGCCTTTTCTAAAAGTATATACTTATCTATCTATAAATATAAAAGCCTAATATGCAAAGTGTCCCCTCAGGAGTTTGACCGACCAGGCGTT